TTCGTTTCACTTACTTTTGTCTTGTTCTCAAAAGGGACCAATCTCTGCAGAAGGATGTCTTGCTTGGTAAAGTAAAGGGGCACCTCAACGGGATGTAGTGACACAGTGGCTGCAATGGTGGGCTCAGGTATGGCAGGGATTGTGAGGCTGGTACATGACTAGGCACGTTTCGTTCTGTTGTGCAGAGGGTCACTATGAGTTAGAGCCGACTCTACAGCAGCTAACAACATCAATATTTATTATTTTCTTTATTTTACTGTATTTTAAGCTTGTTTCTTTTCTTAATTTTTAAGTTGTACACTTAATGTATTAGTTCTCAGCCTTTTTTCTTTACAAAGGCAGTTACAAATTTCCCCACTATCAGAAAGTAGAGCATTCCTATGAAAACTTTCGTAAGCCAGAATGGTGTAAAACGAAGAAGCAAAAACCATTAATTTATATCGGAAATTTTTTTAACATTTCCAGACTCAAAACATAACCCTACCAAGTAATAAAAAACAACACATAAAACGTAACGTAACATTAGCACATAATGCTCACAGGCACAGTTCAAAACGATGGTGGCTTGATAATGAGATGCAGGGTTTAGTTCCCAGGGAAGGAGTTTGGGAACACCACTCTTCCTCATTGCTCAGGGTGTACACTACCTCTTTAAGAGCTCTCTGCAAAACAAATGCTCACCTCTAATTTCATTTTTTGCATTTTTTTGTAAAAGTGAAGATCCTCTTCATTTCTTTCGCTTAGCAGAAACAGCAAACTTTCAAAAAGTAGAGGATACCTGTATATGTTTATCTCTACATGCTACCTTATTCTACAAATTTTGGTATGTAATATTTTTATATTTCATTCTAAATTCGTCTAATTTCCATTTTGATTTCTTCAATGAGTCATAAGATACACACACATACACACAAAGCAAAGAAGCTCTGTAAAAGGAAGAGAGACTGGAAAATGGTGGAAATGTGATTTTGGATATAGTTCTAAATTATGTAACTTTTAGTGGGTTGAATAATCATAATCTGAATTAAATTGGGAAATAATGGAGAAGCTTTCTGATAGAATACAGAGTTGATGGTATGACTGCAAACTAAGAATATAAAGAGCAGTTTCCAGATTAGGAATGAAAGTAGAGAGTGAGATTTAGACAATTCTGTTCAATAAAGAAAGCCAAGGGTTGGAATCATGTAGAACTCCTGTGTAATGGTGGTGCTGGAATAAAAGAGAAAAAGCCTGGTACACCTTGTAACTGAGTTGCCCTGCTTTTACTGAGTGAATTTTTAATCCATATAAGGAAACTTGTGATGAAATTCATTCCTCCTCATTGAAGAAATGAGAATCTAATGAAACATGGTGTTAAAATCCCAAACTATGATGATTTTTTAAATTCTTTATTTTAACTTTAGTGAAAATATGCACAGCAGAACATACTGAAAATGCATTGCTTTTAATTGCTGAATTATACTAAATATACTCATCTGTCACTTTGTTGTACTCTGGTGGCTTGTGTGTTGTTGTGAATCTGGAGGCTATACAACCAATATTTCAAATACCAGCAGGGTTACATATGGTGGACAGGTTTCGGCAGAGCTTCCAGACTAAGACAGAGTCAAAAGAAGGAAAGGGCCATCCACTTCTCAAAGAATTGGCCAGTGAAAACCTTACAAATACTCATGAAACACTGTCTGATATATTATTAGAAAATTTTATAAATAGCCTTGAAACATTGTCCAATATATTGCTTGAAGATGAGCCCCTCAGGACAGAAGACACTCAAGATATGACTGGAGAAGAGCTGCTTCCTTGGAGTAGAGCCAACCTTAATGATGTGGATGGAGTAAAGTTTTCGGGACCTCCATTTGCTGATGTGGCAATACCTAGAATGAGAAGAAACAGCTGCAAACATCCATTAATAATCAGAACATGGAATGTACAAAGTGTGAATCCAGGAAAATTGGAAGTTGTCAAAAATGAAATGGAGCACATAAAGATCGATATCCGCCATTAGTGAGCTAAAATGGATTGATTTTGGCCATTTTGAATCAGACAACCGTATGATCTACTATGCCAGAAATGACAAATTAAAGAGGAATGGTGTGGCATTCATAGTCACAAAGAGTGTTTCAAGATCTATCCTAAAGTACAATGCTGTCAGTGGTAGGATAATATCCAGACACCTGCAAGGAAGACCAGTTAATACTGCTATTACTCCAATTTATGCCCCAACCAGCAAAGTCAAAGACAAGGAAATTGAAGATTTTTACCAACTTCTGCAGTCTGAAATTGACCAAACATGCAATCAAGATGTGCTGGTTATCACTGGTGATTGGAATACAAAAGCTGGAAACAAAGAAGAATAGCTGGTAGTTGGAAAATACCATCTTGGTGATAGAAATAAAGCTGGAGATCACATGATAGAATTTTGCAAGACCAATGACTTATTCATTGCAAATACCTTTTTCCACAACATAAATTGTGGCTATGCACATGGACTCTGCCAGATGGAGGACACAGGAATCAGATTGACTACATCTGTGGAAAGAGGTGATGGAGAAGCTCAGTATGTTTATATGCATGTTCAAGTTGAAGTTGAAGACAATTAAAACAAGTCCATGAGAGCCAAAATATGACCTTGAATATATCCCTCCTGGATTTAGACACCATTTAAAGAATAGATTAGATGCATTGAACACCAGTGACCAAAAACCAGATGAGTTGTTGGATGACATCAAGTATATCATCTGTGATTAAAGCAAAAGGTCATTAAAAAGACAGGAAAGGAAGAAAAGACCAAAATGGATGTCAGAAGAGACTCTGAAACTTGCCCTTGAACAGAGAGTAGCTAAAGCAAATGGAAGAAATGACAAGGTAATGGAGCTACACGGAAGATTTCAAAGAGCAGATAGAGAAGAAAAAGTCAATTATTATAATGAAGTATGTAAAGACCTGGAGTTAGAAAACCAGAAGGGAAGAATACATTTACCATTTCTCAAGCTGAGAGAACTGAGGAAAAAATTTAAGTCTTGAGTTGCAATATTGAAAGATTCTATGGACAAAATATTGAATGATGCAGGAAACATCAAAAGAAGATGGAAGGAATACACAAAGTCACTGTACCAAAAAGAATTGATTGATGTTCATCCTTTTCAGGAGATGACATATGATCAAGAACCAATGGTACTGAAGGAAGAAGGCCAAGCTGCACTTAAGAAATTAGCAAAGAACAAGACTCCAGGAATTGATGGAATACCCATTGAGATGTTTCAACAAGTGGATGCTGTGCTGAAGGCATTCACTCATCTACACCAAGAGATTTGGAAGACAGCTACCTGGCCAATTGACTCGAAAAGATCCATATTTGTACCCATTCCAAAGAAAGGTGATTCTACATAATGTGGAAATTATCAAACAATATCATTAATATCACATGCAAGTAAAATCTCACTGAAGATAATTCAAAAGCGGTTGCAGCAGTATATTGACAGAGAACTTCCAGAAATGCAAGCTGGATTCAGAAGAGGATGTGGCATGAGAGTTATCATTGCTGATGTCAGATGGATCTTGTCTGAAAGCAAAGAATACCAAAAAGATGTTTACTCATGTTTTATTGATTATGCAAAAACATTTGATTGTGTGGATCAAACCAAATTATGAATAACATTGAGAAGAGTGGGAATTCCAGAACACTTAACTGTGGTCATGAGGAACCTGTATGTAGACCAGGAATCTGTTCAAACAGAACAAGGAGATGCTGCATGGTTTAAAAGCAGGAAGGGAGTGTGTCAGGCTTGTATCCTTTCACCATACTTACATAGGGCCACTATGGATTGGAGCTGACTTGACAGCACCTAACAGCACCAACAACTAAATATAAAGGAACTTTTAGTATGAAGTTCTGAGCAGTATGTACACTTTGATTGGCATTAGATTTGTCCTCTTATTACAAAAAACAACAGATATGGATTGTATCTATGATCACATCTAATACATGTTTTTAAGTAATTGTTTGAATCTTCCTTTTGTTTTGAAAAGGAGCCCTGGCAGCTCAGTGGTAAGCACTTGACTGCTAACCTAAAGGCTGATGATTAGAACCTACCAGCTGCTTCACAGGAGAAAGATGTGATAGTCTGCTTCTATAAAGATTTACATCCTTAGAAACCCTATGAAGCAGTTCTCCCCTATCCTATAGGGTTGCTATGAGTCTGAATTGACTCTATGGCAATTGGCTTTTGGTTTTTGTTCTGAAGGTGAGCAGGTTTGGGAGCAAGTATAGTGCTGAGGCATTTGACTGCTAACCAGAAGGCTGGTGGTTCAAACCCACCAGCCACTCCTCAGAAGGAAGATTGGGCAAACTACTTCCATAGTGATTCCACCTTGGAAACCCAAGGAGGGGTTTTTGTGAGTTGGATCTGACTCAGTGGCAGTGAGTAAATTAAAAAAAAAAAAAAAAGTAATATGTCATTAAAAGAAAATTGACACAAAGATGATTTTTACAAAAATAGTGGAGTTCATTAATTCCAAAGAGTGCTAACATTTAAAATTGATTTATAATTGAGAAAGGTAATTTTTAAAAGACTGTGCTTATTAAAGACTATTATTATTTAAATGTTATAACTGGAATTTATTCAAATATACTTGGAAATAAAATATAAGGGTTTGTCTTATGTTTGTGGGAGGTGTTATACATCTTATTATAAGGAAAACAAATACATATTTGATTAAAAACTTCAACAATTTTCTAAGATTCGTGTTTTTTACTCTTCCTCAAAAATGTCTTAGAATAATATTACTTTCAAAAAGTCATATGATGATTAACAGAAAATATGCCATTTGATTCATAAATAGTTAAGTGCTATCCAATATCAAGATTTCTATTTGTTATCTTTTCTCTCAATAAGACATTCTATGAATGTAACTGTTAAGTTTTGCTGTTTTTGTATGAAAACATTCAAAATATATCCTCATTAGAAAATATTTTCTTCCTTTTCCCTCTTTTTAAAAAGATGCATTGCCATTTGCTCTCTCGGGGTCTGGATTTGTGAAGAACTTGCACAGTGTACAAGCCATCCGCAGGTGAAAGAGGCCATCAATGTGATAGGCGTAACTCTGAAGGTATTACCAGCTTGTGATGCTTATTTGATATTAAGCTATAACCCAGATATTGAAACCAGTTTTAGTTTGAATGAATCCCATCTTTGTTTTCCCCTACATTAGAGAGAGGTTGTGAGTCAAAGTTCTTTTTCTTTTCTTTTCTTCTTTTTTTAATATATATTTTTTAAATTGTGATTTGGGTGAACATTTACAGAGGAAATTCATTTACCATTCAATAGTTCATACATGTTTTGTTTCATGACACTGGAAGCAATCCCCATAATGTAACAGCTCTGTTCCCACTTCTTTCCTGTGGTTACGTTTTCCCTATGCCCTTCTTTCCTATGCATTCCTGCCCTGTGAGCTATCACTCTGTGCAAATGCTGCCCTTCTTATGTCCCAAGGTTGATTGTTCTGAGTAGTACACTCTAGGGGTGTAATTGTTCACCTTAATGGCCTATCTTATTATTTGGTCAGAAGAAGCCATGGGAGTGAGTTCTGTTCCAGGCCTGAAGGTTGACTAGGGGCTGTTATCACTGGGGTTTCTCCATTCTCTATTGGACCAGTATGGCTGGTCTGTTTTATAATTTTGAGTTTTGTTCCACGTTATTCTTCCACTCTAGCCAGGATCTCCTATTTTTGATCCCTTTCCAAGGGGATGATAGTGGTAGCCATGCACCATCTAGTTCTTCTAGTCTCAAGGTCAGGTAGACTGAGGTTCCCATAGTCCACTAGTCCCTTGGACTAATTGTGTCCATGCATCTTTGAGTTTCTTCACACTGCTTTGGTATGAGGAGAGACCAATTGTTGCATCTTAGATGGCCCCTTGTAAGGTTTTAAGATCCCAGTAACTACTAACCAAAGTAGCATGTAGGACAGTATTTTTGTGGAGTATGTTTTGCCATCTGAGCTTGATGTCCCCACAACTATGGTCCTGAGCCTGTGGGCCCAGTGACTCACTCCCTCAACGTGTTTGGCTATGGCTAAGAAATCATCCTAACTTGACCCCCTGTTAGCTTTGTTATATATACGTACATTCTTTTAGCACATACAAACACGTATGTAGAAATATCATTGGCTAAACTTACATATGTTCATGGGTATATTCCCTTTGCCTACCCATACCTGATTAGCCTATCTATGTGTCCACCCATAAGTTAATGTTTGCTATTACTGCTAATGCAGTATTGTATATGTAAAAGTGTTTATCTTTGTTGTCTTATGTCTTCCTTTGCCTTAGTGTTATTGCATTGGTCACTCGCTTTTAGTATACTGCCGTTCCCTTTACCTAAATCAATACTTGTCTCTTACCTATCTAGCAGTTTTCCCTCCACTCTTCTCCCATTGTTGGTAACCAACAAAGTTTCCTTCCATGTGTAAACCTTTCCTGGACTTTTTACAGTAGTGGACTTATACAATATTTGCCCTTTTGTGACTGACTTATTTCACTCAGTATAATGTCCTTCATGTTCATTTACACCATGATCTATTTTGCAGATTCTTCATTATTCTCTGTTTTTGCCTAGTATTCAGTTGTGTGTATGTACCATAGTTTAGCTATCCATTCATCCATTGATGGGCACTTAGGTTGTTGTTTCCAACATTTTGAGGGTATGGCACAGTGGTTCTATCATCAAAGTTCTTCTTCTGAAAGCCATGTTGAATGTGCTGTGACATTCCAGGAGAGGCCATATAATGCTGCTTCCCCATTAAGAGCCTGGGCATTTCTGGACCAAGCCTTCAAAAGGGCATTTGTTACCTGTTAGGTGGAGTGACAGACAAGTGGGCTTTCATTTCCTAGCCTCTGTAGCAAAACCGGAGGTGAGCCTCAACTGCTCCCTGTTGTAAGTCCTTAGTGTTCACAACCTGGGGACTATACTTTGGTCACTTTTAGAACATCTTTCTTCCTTTGTTATTGAGAAGATCTGCCATTTACTGGGGACTTACATTGGGCCATATTAATTGTGAACTTTTTAAATATTTTTGGCAGACTTCACCATAGCTCTGTATGGCAGGTGTTACAATTCTTATTTCACGCCCAGGGAAATGGGGCCAGAAAAATCAAGTCACTTGCCCACAACCACTCACTGAAGGCAAATCTGTGTATCATTATAACTACACCTGAGCCTTTCATGGGCTGGAAGTCTGCTTCCAAAACCAGAGCTTAGAGTCTGCCATCCCTTTCCTGACTCCTGCTTAGAGATACTAGTGATTATCTGCACTGCAGTTATTTCTACCTCGAGAACTAGCAAGGACCTTGTCTCTGCCAGGCACTGTGCTCATACTTTTGTCAAAGTTTGCAGTTGTGAGATAAGTGTTCTCATTGTACCAATGGAGGTTCAGGAGGGTGACAGAACATGTTCAAGGCTCCAGAGCAAAAACCTGCCTAATCTGAAGTTCAACCCTGATTGATCCAGCTGATACCAGCATCCAACCTCTAGCCCACTCTTCTCAGCTGCTTGTCACATGCTACTGTAATAGTGACAGTAAATATAGCTGATGCCTGTGACCAGCATCACAGGCCAGTGACAGTCCCTGTGCCACACTTGGTACACAAGGCTTCCTGTGTTTTCTGTTTCAGCTCGTAGCATAACCAGCCAGTGGTGTCCCAGGCCCTGGCTTGGAATCCAGCCCTTTATGGTCTGGCCACTGCATCCTGCTTTCACAACAGCCTGTTTCACCCACCCTTCCTTATGGCCAAACCCAATGCCTCTTGAACCAGTTGTGTCCTACTACCTCCCTACCACCTACCTTCCTCAGTCTTAATTCTACCCAGAAGACTTCCCCTCATCTCCCCATATCCATCTTCCGTAACACCTGGGGTGATGTTGGAGGGAGCTGGAGAAATATTTACTGCTGATCTCTGTGAAAATTACTAAACCAAGATATCATTTGAGCTATCTGGCATGAGCACATTGCTGACACTTGACTTTTGTCATCATGTTTAGTTCTTAGAACTACTACACTGATGAGAAAAATGAGCTGTGGAAACCTAAGTGTCAAACTCTGGACACTCTGGCCCCAAGTTTGGGGCTTTGCACAACTGAGGTGTGCAAGACACCCATGACTCCCAGGGGCTTCCTATTTATTGACTCCACATATCCAGGCATTGATCTCTTTGTAAATGTGCCCATCAGAAACACACACAAGGAGGACTTGGTGTTGCCTTGCATGTGAGAGGGGAAAGGTAAGTCATGGGCAACTATAGTTTTCCCCAAGAGGTATTAATGAAAAACAGCCTCTGTCCACACTGCCATCTAGAGAATTTCACTCAGCTAGGTGTTTGGTTTTGTTTTTATTAGTTTGTTTTTGGTGAGGTAGCATATAAGTGGCAGGTGTTTATGGTAGAAAGGTGCTAAGCAAGAACCATGCTTATAAACTTTTGACGTCCCATCATGGAGGCCCTTGGCCATGCACAATATAGGGCAGGCATAGACTAAGGCTCAGGTGAGGTGCATAGGACCCTCCATCATGACACTACCGCCAGCTGGGAATCCAGAGCCACAGCTCCTCCTATGCTACCTGCTGCTCCTTCTCTTACCTTATCTTAGGAGGCATTTTGATTCTCATTTCTCTGCTTACCCCATTATTGTTACTTTCAGTAAATCCTGATAATGTTACCTCCCAAACACTCTTTGCTGTTTCCCACCTGCTTCCCCAGGTCCCCATCACCACAACTCACTCTGTCCATTTCACAGCCATCTGCCAATATCAGCTGAAGTAGTCTGGCCAGTGAAGATCTGCCTCAATATCGCCCACAAAGGAATCCCTTGCAGACAGATCTGATTGACTCCTGCTTAACCCTCACCCACAGACTAGTGTGTGGCAAGGTGTTTGGGAATATCCATGAACTGGCCCCTGTTCACCCCATGAGATTGTCAGTTCACTGAGGTTAGGGACCATATCTGCCCTGTTCATCTTTGTGACCCATGCTTTTAATTCAGTGATGGAATGTTGCCAGTGCTCCAAGAATATGTGTTGGATGAGTGAGTCAGTGAGTGAGATTGTGTATCTGTGCATGATTTCATACCACAGTCCCCACCTCACCTTCACTTGGCAATGATCCCAGTCCCCTCACAGCTCTCCATGTCAACATTTTGTGCCTTGGTGCTTCTGCACAAGCTGCCCACCACCTGAAATGAAGCTTCTGACTTGGTTCTTCCAGGCTCAACTCAGTTGTGCCTTTCCTTCCTCCACAATGCCTTCTCAAACTCTCCACCTGTCTGCCCCCCTCTCTCACTCCAGCCTTCTTGCTCTTTCCAGGCTGAGTGCCTCACTTATCTCTGCCCATAGTCCTGTGTTATCTTCCATAACTCTCATCATTTTCCTCTGACATGTTCTAGCTTTTTGAATGAAGAGTCATGCCAGCTTTGTCCTTCTGCCCCATGACTTTGTCAGTGTCATGCAGCAGAAATACTTAGAGTGATCACTCATATTCTTCCACTCCCTACAGGTTGCACCTTCTCCTTAAATATACCATGCATTTTCTTCAAGGAACTGTGCTAGGCATCAGGGATGCAATAGTAAACAAAATGTATGGGAAAATAAGGACACAACAGAACAAGCAGAATCAAGATCAACTCCCATAGCCCTTAATATAAAAATATAACAGGGAACAGGATGAAGTTTAAGAGTTGCTATTGGGGGAAACATCTTTTGGATAGGCACAGTGCCCTTGTGGAAGATATGGTCTGAAAAATGCAATGATGCCAACCACATTCAACCTAAGGAATGAGTGCCCTCCAGGCAAAGCTGGGAGGAAGTCCAAAGGCTCTTGGGTAGAAATAAGCCAGTGGGTTTGAGGGATGAAGAGAGACCAGTGAGGATCAGGTCATTTGGGGTATGAATGGCTGGAGTGAAATTGTGGAAGAGTCCCTTGCATGCAGATATTCTCACCATGGGTTTACATAGTGCCTTTTAGGGAGGGGCAGGCAGTAATTGATTATTCTGTAGAATTAAAGTTAATTGCCTTTTCCTTAAGGAGGAGCTCTGATAGTATAGTGCCTAAGGCATCTGACTGCTAAATAGAAGGCTGGCAGTTCAAACCCACCAGCCACTCCTCGGAAGGAAGGTTAGGCAATCTACTTCCGTAGTGATACTGCCTCAGAAAGCCAAGGAGGGGTTGCTATGAGTCAAGGTGACTCAAGGGTACATAACAACAACAACAACCTTTCCCTTACCTTCCTCCTCATTCTACGTATGTGTCACTGTAGTGCTAAACACGACCTTTCTGTGGTGTTTGCGTGTTGTAAATGTCAGTGGGTGTCTGTATCACATGACATACAGCTTCTGGAATTGAAATAACTAAGGTGTATATCCAGAGGTTTCCCCAGTTACAAGGATATGGGGACAATGACAAACTTTTTTGGTCCAGATAATGTGGTGTGAGTAGCAGGTGACTTAGGTTCTGGCTAGGGCCGGAAACACCAGGTGCACTCATCCCTTTTATGCATCCTAGCTTGGAAAAGTAAGACAGCTAAGGGTCTTCACAGGTATTGACCCTTTGGCATGCCATTTCAAAAGAATGGAAACATCTAAAGACAATCCCTGTTTATCAATATGTAAAATGACAATAATATGTACCTTCCTACCTTATCAAAACAAAAACACCAAAACTCACTGCCGTCAAGTCGATTCGACTCATAGTGACCCCTCCTTGGGTTTCCAAGGTGATATTACTACGGAAGTAGATTGCCCAACTTTCCTTCTGAGGAGTGGCTAGTGGGTTTGAACCACCAGCCTTCTGGTTAGCAGTCAAGTGCCTTAGGCACTACACTACCAGAGCTCCCTCCTACCTTACAGAGCTGTTAATAAAGATTTATCAATGAGAGACTGAGTAAAATTTTTGTAAAGTTTCAGCATACAGTAGATACCCAACACTGTATTACATTTTAATTTCCTCTAATTTGTCAAAGAATATGATTTATGTGATCTGAATAAGGCATTTGAAATTATGGTTTTAATTTTCAAGTTATTAACGGATGGCTACTTATTTCTGTAGAATGTTGTAAGAGTTAATATAGCAAGGCTGGACAAAAAGCAATTGGAGAATGGTGGTGTGATCATGTGTAAGCTCTCTGGTAATAGGGCATGTTTTTCATCAATTTAATGCAAAACAAATATGGAACCCTATATGTGTCTGGGAGGAAATCTGTTAAGAACTATTCTTCCTTAGAAATAATGTACATATGTAGTTACACTGTTTTGTTTTGGGTTTTGTTTCCTTTTATAGTTCCCTAACAAAACTGTGGCTCAAGTAGCTTGTGATGTTCTTCAGTTGCTGGTTTCCTACTGGAAAAAGCTTCAGATGTTTGAAAACTCTATGCCTCGGAAAGTTGCAGAAGTAGGTCTTTTTTATGTAATGCTAAAGTATAAGCATTTCCCTTTTATTGTTTTTGATATTTAATTAATTATAGATACTCAAATGATTGTTAGAGAACCTACTATGAAATTGCCGTATGAATCATTTGTTTTTAGATTAAATTAACAGGTTCTTCTCAGTTGGGATTTCAGCCACTACAGAAAGAAGCCCCCAGTGTTCCAGGACAACTCATAGCACCTGGGGTATTTGAAAGGCAGATGCAATCACAATAAAGAGACTTTTTGTAGATTGGGCTTCATTCATTGAGAGAAATTTGGTTGATTCCACCAAGGAGTAGGCAGCTGGTTATGATGCCTTCCTTGGGGAGCATGGGCTATCTAAAACAAGAGTCTCTCCCCAACTAAAGCCCTGGAGCACATTTTCTGCCATAAGCTTGATTACCCACTTGTAAAGGGATTACTCCTACAATAACTTCAGTGAGGATAGTTGGTGGAGGAGAGGGATAGAAGGAATAGGATAAATGATCTCAACAGTAAGACTCTGGAGGCTGGTTATATTTGGGAATACTTTGCCCTCACCTGACCACCCATTTCCTATATGTACCAAGTGGTAAAACACATCATCCCTGGAAGCTTTTATAGCTGTGCTTTTTAAAACATGCCCTAATGTTTACACATCCACTGGTAACTCTTTGAGGAAATTTGATTTGTCTTCATGTGGTTTTTCAGGGAGAGAGAAGAAGCAATATTGATTTATTTTCTCTCAGCCCTAGACAAATTTCACTGGTGAGATCACATTTTTCTCTCAGGGACACTTGACCTTGAAGGACTTAGAGTAGAATGGATCCTTGGGCATAGGAATAGACGATATTACAAAATATAAAGTTGGGTTTTAGGGCAACCAGAAAATTTCTCACCTAAACAGGAATACTTTTGAGAATGAAAGGAGTGCTTATTCCACCAAGACAGCAGGTGGAGACATGGGGTAACTTATAAGAAAATTAAATGTGAGCATTTTCACTATGAAAAGTGGGAGCACTGAGGGTAGAAATTAGGTGAATGCAGAGAGAAATATTACTTCCTCATACTAGAGCCCCCACCAATAGGGTGAACTGGAAATCAGACATGGCCACTAGTTCTCTTGATTTCTAGATCACACATATTCCTACAATGCTCTTTGCTTCGATCTTTTCATGAGTTGGCACCAAAGAGGATTTAGTTGAAAGGGACTCTCTTCACCTGTGACTTCTAAAATTATTACTATGAACTGTTTCATTGGGAATTTATTTTTCATGCAGATCCTTGTGGCCACAATTGCTTTTCTTTTACCAAGTACAGAATATTCCTCAGTGGAAACAGATAAGAAGGTAGGTGACACATTAGCTAAGTTTTCCCTATTGTTTGTTTTTTAAAAATGAAAGATACATAGTATGACTTACAGTAAAGTTGAAAAGGCTGCATTGTAAGGTACGGTGTCTTTCTTCTAGTTTATTGTTTCTCTGCTCCTCTGCCTCTTGGACTGGTGCATGGCATTGCCAATGTCAGCCCTTCTTCACCCAGTGTCAACAGCCCTCCTGGATGAACAGAATGCGACCAGAGCCCCCTTGTTGGATTACGTCTACAGGGTAAGTGCTCACCTAACCTCAAGGGCAGTGAGTGTACACACAGGTTTTATAGAGACTTATCAATATATATTTTACACATTTATTGAAATGTTCTTTTGAAGAGAATTTATGGTAGGTTATATATATGAGTGATACTGCCTCAGAAACCCAAGGAGGGGTCGCTATGAGTCGGGTCCGACTCGACGGCACACAACAACAACAACAACGAGTAAAAACAGAAAATATAATTGTAGAGAAGCAGTGGTTACCAAATTAAAGACATATGCATTTTTACCTAACTGTAAAGTCAGTTACTAGTTTGGATCCCCCAATTTTTGTAAAGCATGGTGTATGTCTACTTAATTTGAGAAAGAACTATTTATATTACAAAAACATTGATTGCATTAGCTTAGAATTAAGGAAGTATATTACCAGCCACTCCTCGGAAGGAAGGTTGGGCAATCCTACTTCTGTAGTGATACTGCCTCGGAAACCCAAGGAGGGGTCGCTATGAGTCGGG